CCCCCCCCCCCCCCCGCAAATAAAGAAGGGGCCACATTCAGGAGCTCCGCGGGGAGTGTTCAGCACTCTGAGTAGTGGGGGCCTCAGCACCGAGGGGCAGGAACAGCGCTCTGAGTGCACGGTCACAACGTGGTCTCCCAACAGACATACCCGCCCAGCTGCAGGGACCGCCTGCAGCCCTGCCAAATCCCTCGTCCCCTGGTATCTACCACCCCTCCCAGGACACTCAAAAGCCTTTCTGTCAGGGCCGGCTTCTCCCTAACAGGCTCCTCTTAGAGACTGGGCAGAAGGCGAAGGCGGGGAGGTGCCAGGAGTGCGGAGAGGCGAGGACAAGGAGGAGAGGCTGGCGCCCCTTAACGACTCCCCTCTGCCCCAGGTGGCCTTGATCAAATCTTGAGCCCTCTCTGGCCTCAGCTTCCCCAGCTATTCGTAAAACGAGGAGGTGGGCGGGATGCAGACAGTGGAAGCCGCGGCCTGGGCGCGTCAGTTCAGCACCCAGTGCGCCAAGCAGGACAATGGGCAGGGCCGAGACTCGAAATCTGTAACGCTGGGCTGTGGAAGGAAGAGCCCCAGTGCGGGCCCTCCCCGCGCCTCCAGGGAGCGCACAAATCACTCTCAAGAATGGGGCAGCCGAGGGGAAAACACGCAACCCCCACCTAACTCGCCGTCGGGCCTGAGCCAGTCCCCGCGGGTTCCGGGTCCGCAGCCACGGCGCCCTTCTCCCCACCTCCTCGCGCTGCGCTCCGGGCCGCATCCCCTTCGGGCCCCGCTCGGGCTGGGCGCCCGTCCCTCCAGTCCCCCTCGCCCCGCGCGCGTACCTGGCAGCAGCAGCAGCAGCAGCAGCAGAAATAGCAGCAGCGGCGGCGGCGCCCAGGGAGGCAAGAGCTCCGCGACGCGCGGCTGGGCGCCCATGGCTGGTCTGCCCTCTGGCCAGAGGTTCCGTGCGGACCGGGCGGGCGGCGTGGGACGGAGGGCAGACCGAGCAGAGCCGGACGGTCGGGAGCCGGCGGGACAGTGGCGGAGACAGACTCGCCAGGCCGGGCTCCAGGCGCTGCCCGCCCACTCGGAGCGGGACCAGGGCGCGGCGTGCGGAGCCCCGGCTGCTCCAGCCCCACCCCCAATCCCGGGCGCAGCCCCGCCCGCCGCCGTGGGGAAATAAAGAAGGGGCCACATTCAGGAGCTCCGCGGGGAGTGTTCAGCACTCTGAGTAGTGGGGGCCTCAGCACCGAGGGGCAGGAACAGCGCTCTGAGTGCACGGTCACAACGTGGTCTCCCAACAGACATACCCGCCCAGCTGCAGGGACCGCCTGCAGCCCTGCCAAATCCCTCGTCCCCTGGTATCTACCACCCCTCCCAGGACACTCAAAAGCCTTTCTGTCAGGGCCGGCTTCTCCCTAACAGGCTCCTCTTAGAGACTGGGCAGAAGGCGAAGGCGGGGAGGTGCCAGGAGTGCGGAGAGGCGAGGACAAGGAGGAGAGGCTGGCGCCCCTTAACGACTCCCCTCTGCCCCAGGTGGCCTTGATCAAATCTTGAGCCCTCTCTGGCCTCAGCTTCCCCAGCTATTCGTAAAACGAGGAGGTGGGCGGGATGCAGACAGTGGAAGCCGCGGCCTGGGCGCGTCAGTTCAGCACCCAGTGCGCCAAGCAGGACAATGGGCAGGGCCGAGACTCGAAATCTGTAACGCTGGGCTGTGGAAGGAAGAGCCCCAGTGCGGGCCCTCCCCGCGCCTCCAGGGAGCGCACAAATCACTCTCAAGAATGGGGCAGCCGAGGGGAAAACACGCAACCCCCACCTAACTCGCCGTCGGGCCTGAGCCAGTCCACGCGAGTTTCGGGTCCGCAGCCACGGCGCCCTTCTCCCCACCTCCTCGCGCTGCGCTCCGGGCCGCATCCCCTTCGGGCCCCGCTCGGGCTGGGCGCCCGTCCCTCCAGTCCCCCTCGCCCCGCGCGCGTACCTGGCAGCAGCAGCAGCAGCAGCAGCAGAAATAGCAGCAGCGGCGGCGGCGCCCAGGGAGGCAAGAGCTCCGCGACGCGCGGCTGGGCGCCCATGGCTGGTCTGCCCTCTGGCCAGAGGTTCCGTGCGGACCGGGCGGGCGGCGTGGGACGGAGGGCAGACCGAGCAGAGCCGGACGGTCGGGAGCCGGCGGGACAGTGGCGGAGACAGACTCGCCAGGCCGGGCTCCAGGCGCTGCCCGCCCACTCGGAGCGGGACCAGGGCGCGGCGTGCGGAGCCCCGGCTGCTCCAGCCCCACCCCCAATCCCGGGCGCAGCCCCGCCCGCCGCCGTGGGGTTTCCGAGCCTCTGCGGGGGAGAGAGGTGCGCTCGCGTCCGAGAACAGGGATGCGCTGGTCCTCTAGTGCGCTGTGTTGGGCGGTCTCATCCCTCCCTCTGTGGTCGGTGTAGCCCACGGATGGCTCCGCGCCGGGCCAATCCAAGCAGGTACTGGCAAACCGCGGGGAAGAATAGGGGTCGACTCTCTGTTCCTGGCTTCCTGGGTGGGTGCGAGTATCTCCTTTCCCCGGGCTTGGGGACCACCGGGCTAGACGGACGGTCGCCGGGCTGCCTGAAAGGTTCTAACACATCCTTAAGACGAGGACTCAAGATTTTGACACTATTAAGTAATTGTTAAATATTTTCGGAGTGATAATGGTATTTGTGTTTTTAAGAGCCCTTAGGGTTACCGTGAAGAGGAGAGCTGGAGTCAGTTGAAACAATATCGGCCATGGAGTTGGTAATTGATGAGGCTAGATGAGAAACACCTGGAGGTTTGTTATCCTAGTCTACTGTCGAATATGTTGCAATGTCTTGATAAAAAATAAAACGAAAGAAATAACCAAATTAAAAATAAGTCTTGGAGATGGAGCCATCAGAGAAAGCACTGCCCTTCCTGGCCCCTGGACCTTGCAGAACCTCCTCTGCCCACCGGCCCATCTGCGCCCTGGGTGCACCAGGATGGTTCTGTGATGGAGCAGACCACCCTGGGGCCCGTTGGTCTCTCAGACCACCCACCAGGAGTGGGGTGGGGTACCTGCAGGCTTCCTTGGAGTTCCTCTATCACAGGACAGGTCAGTCACCTTTATTATTTCCAGAATGGGTCACCTACCCACATTAAAACCAAACAAAAGGAGACATTTTGCAGGATTCAGAAAATGTTTGGACTTACTGTCAGGCCCCCATTTAGAGAATTTTCATTCTCCTGACAAGAATCCCTTTATCTGGAAAATATTGCAAATCACATATCCAACCAAGGACTTGTATCCAGAACATATAAAGAACCCTCAAAACTCAAAAAGAATAGATGGGTATGAGTGACCTTATTGGGGTGATGTCAGTGTTCTAAAACTGGGTTATAGTGATAAACTTATTAAACTCATTGAACTGTACACTTAAAATGTGTGAATTTTATGATATGTAAATTATACCGAGTTATTTTTAAGATCTCAGAAGAAAACTAAAACCCAGTTTTAAAAATGAGCAAGAGTTAAACAGACACTTGACCAAAAAAGGCAGAAAGCTCATGAAAAGATGTCCAACATTTGCTGCTAATGTTGCAGCAAAAATAGAAATGAGACTTCTGTTTTCTGATAAACAAGGAAAATAAGGAAGCAATGAACAGGCTGGGGAAACAACATAAACAGGCCTGAAAGAGTTAATCGTGGTTATTCTTTAGCTGTTACTTCTAACAAACACTTGCAGCTAGACGTCCTTCACAAAGCTGATTACTCTCTGACTCCATTTGAATTACCCTTTGCACCTGGCATTTCTTCTCCCGCTACACTCCCTTGTAGCACTCTTCATTTGGGACAGAAGGTCACGGGCCGATAACTTCAGGGACACCAGACCCGGTTGTTGAGCCACCTGATGACAGCTTTGGCCATGAATTTGTAGAACAAAAGAAATGCAGGACCTTCATTACTTTGAGCTTTATCACCTACCCCAGACCATGAGCCCCAGGCTATATAACCTTTCCCTGTTCCCCGGGGAAGGGGGCACAGCTCTTGAGGCGCTAGCTTGCTGTGTTACCCCCTTTGCCAGGCAAAGATTAAAGCCATTTTCCTCATTTCTCCAAAACTCTGTCTCCATATTTCTTTTTGGCATCGGTGCATAGAGAGCCAAGATTTTGGTATCACTAGCCATTAGGGAAAGCAAATTAAAACCAGGGTGATATACCACTTAACAGCCACTGGGACGGCTAAAATAAAAAAATGCTGTCAATACCAAGTGCAGATGAGGAAACAGAGCAACTGGATCTCTCATACTTTGCTGGTGGGAATGCAGAACAGTATGGCTGCTCCGGAAAACAGTTTGACAGTTTCATATAAACATACTCTCCCCATATAACCCAGCAATCACATTACTGAGTATTTATCTAGAAAAATGAAAAGTTTTGTTCACACAACATACTATAAGTGAAATGTTTATAGTAACAGTATTGATAATTGCCCCAAACTGGTAACAACCTAAATGTGCTTCAACAGCCATATGATGGATGCAGAAGAACAAACTATTGTTACACTCTTCAACTTGGATGAATCTCAAAGGCATTATGCTGAGTGAAAGAAGCCACTCTCCAGTGGTTCCATACTAACGTTGGTGCGTGCAGGATCTTTAATTGTGGCCCATGGGATCTAGTTCCCTGACCAGGGATTGAACCTGGGCCCCCTGCATTGGGAACATGGAGTCCTAACAGCTGGACCACCAGGGGAGTCCCCATTAGAGGTTATTCTTTTTTTTTTTTTTTATAAATTTATTTATTTTGGGCTGTGTTGGGTCTTCATTGCTGCATGCAGGCTTTCTCTAGTTGTGGTGAGTGGGGTGTACTCTTCATTGTGGTGCGCAGGCTTCTCGTTGCAGTGGCTTCTCTTGTTGCGGAGCACGGGCTCTAGGCGGGTAGGCTTCAGTAATTGTGGCAAGCGGGCTCAGTAGTTGTGGCTCACGGGCATAGTTGCTCTGCAGCATGTGGGATCTTCCCAGACCGGGCTTGAACCCATGTCCCCTGCATTGGCAGGCAGATTCTTAACCACTGCACCACCAGGGAAGTCCCTAGAGGTTATTCTTTCTCTCTCTTTTTTTTTTTTGTGGTACGCGGGCCTCTCACTGTTGTGGCCTCTTCCGTTGCGGAGCACAGGCTCCGGACACGCAGGCTCAGCGGCCGTGGCTCACGGGCCCAGCCGCTCCGCGGCATGTGGGATCTTCCCGGACCGGGGCACGAACCCGTGTCCCCTGCATCGGCAGGCGGACTCTCAACCACTGCGCCACCAGGGAAGCCCTAGAGGTTATTCTTGAAGAGACTAAACTATAGTGATGGGAAAAGCTCAGTGGTTGCCGGGGGTTAGGGGTGGAGGGACACGTGACCATAAAGGAGTAGCAGGTGGGAGCTGTTTTGGGTGATGGGTGACTCCTACATCCTGATTACATGAATCTATACATATGTTAAAATTAATAGAACAGTATCTAAAAAGTCAGTTTTATTGTATAATAATTTTTAAAATAGATTTTTTGAAAAATCCTCCTCCATCGCACAAATATTTTGAGTGCTTACGACTTGCCAGGCACTGTGCAAAAGACAGTATGTAGGGGAAACCAATCAGAGCATCTGTGAGGGAGACACACCTGACCCAGCCGGGATAAAAAGCAGAGCATGACCAGGGCCGTGGAGCATGGAGGAGAGAGCCATTCCTTTCAGGTGGGGAACCAGGGAAAGCTGCTGAGGGGAGGGGGCATCTGAGATTGAAGGAGGAATAGGAGCCATGTCTTCATTCAACAAACATTTATTGAGCACCTACTATGGGCCAAGCTCTGTCCTAGGCCCTGAGGATACCGCAGCAAAGATGAAGGGCCAGATGCCTGCTCTCACAGAGCTCACACTCTAGCGGGTGAGAGCCTCGGGTACCGAGGGCTGCTGGAGGAAGGTGTCGGGGTAACGTGGCTGTGGGGAGAATGTTTGGGATGAGTGACTGGGGAAGGCCCCTGGGGGAGGTGACATTGGAAAAAATGATGGATTGGAGCAGAGCCCTGAATGATGCAGCCGCGGGAAGAGCTTACGAGACATCTGGGGAAGAAGGTTTGGGTAGAATATACAGCAAATGCAGAGGCTCTAGGCTGGGAAGATCTTGAAGCATGTGAGGGACTAAAAGAAGGCCAGTGAACCCAGTGGACAAGGATGAGTGGACGGAGATGGAGTGGGAGGTAAGCGGGCACGCAGACCAGATACCTGGCACACTGTGGGTGCCACTGCTACACGCATCTTTATCCCCAGTGCCTGCTGCAGGGAAGGAAGCCAGGCCGGAATTAAGTTGCCCAAAGACCCTCCTGAAGCGGGTTTCCTGGGGTTCCTCCAAGGCCTTCAGAGAGGACGGTCCAGGCCGCCCTCATCCTTGCCCCTCCCATGGCCATGGCTGTTTGATGGGGCTGATGGCTGACAGACTCATTTATTTAGGGCCTCATCAGCCGTGACCCAGAAGGAAGCAGCAGACTGTCCGTCTGGCCACTCACATCATCTCACCCCACATCCTGGGGGCCTCAGACATGCAGGGCAGCCTAGGGCCCTTCAGAAGGTGTGTGGGTCTGGAAGAGGGGAGGTAGGAAGAGCCCCACAGTGCCGAGCACACACACAACCACGAACACCCACAGGAACAGCCGGTCCACCACCATGGCCACGTACTTCCAGTCCTCAATGACCTGTGGGCAGACAGAGGGGCCGGTTACAGGCGCCGAGCACGGAGGTCCTCCCTGCTTTCCCTCATCCCCCGAGCTGGGGCCTCACTATCTGGCCAGGGACCCCGTAGGCCACTTAGAACATGGAGTGGTAAGTTCTGAGTCTGAGGCTGGTCTTTCAGCTGGGTACCTGGGTGCCTCTCGGGTCCTCAATCCACCCCTACCCGCCCTGCATGGCATTAGGGAGCCACTGGCTGTATGGGAAGGTTAGGAATGGAAGGGGTTATTAACGCCACATATGTGATTCGAAACCAAACTGGATTATAAATAAGGGGAATGAAACCTGAGGATCACAAGGCCCCTGCTCTCATTTTCACCCCAAGCCCCCTGCCTGAGCTGGCTTTGCCCAAAGGAAGACTTGAGGTGCACCTAGCTGAGAGGGGGTTGGGCAATGGGACCCGCAGGACACCTGGAAATCCTGTTTGCTCAGTTCCATTAATGGCAGTATCTGCTAGTTCCTGTAATTAAGACCCAGCCTCCTTCCACATCATCTGGGTTTCTCTCTACCTCCTTCCCTGCCCTCCATCTTCTCAGGCCCAGGTGTGGGGTATAGGATTGGCAGAAACATGGCTAGCCTCCTGAGGTGCCACCACAGATGTGCCTGCCTCCTTGGCCTGGGGGAGATGCCCCCAGAGAGACCCAGCATTCTGGTCTCCCTTCCCCTCACCCGCTTTCACACCCCAGCCTGTCTGGATCCTTCTGCATGCGTACTTGTCCTGGTGGAGAGTGGCTGCATCAGCAGAACTCAGCAGGGGCTCTGGAGCTGGAAATTCGGGCAGCAATGGGCAAGCGATGTCAGTGACCCAATTTGTCAGAGCCCTGGTCAGTGGTGTGCATCTCCCCTCCAGGATGATCCCTGCTCAACCAGCCCCACACCCCCAGCCAAACACAGCTGCTGTGTTTCCTAGATGCAGCAGGCACCGCCCACTTTCCACACAGCACTCTTGGGTTTCTTTATGACAGCCCTAACTGCAAACAACCGTGTGTGTGCGCGCGCGCACGCGCGTGTGTGCATGTGTGTACGCGCACGCGCGTGTGTGCATGTGTGTACGCGTCTTTTCCCCTCTTTTTATATTTTTGTGCTATTTATAGTGACCAGTTAATCACCAGGGAGGGTGAAAGTGCTGAAGATGAGAAACAGCTCAGGCTGGCTTAGGGGTGGGCATGCTCTGGAAGGGAAGAAAGCCTCTTCTCTCCAGCTAGACATGAGAAAGTTGATCAACCAGTAAGGCCCCCATGTGTGTCAGTTCAGGGCAAGGCACTGCGAAGGGCAAGGAATGTTAATGACATCAGAAAGATCTGAGTATGGAGCTTGGCTCTGCTCTGTGCCAGCTGTGTGACCTTGGGCAAGTTAATGAGCCTCTCTGGGCCTAGCTTTTTTTTCTATTGTAGACTCGGGATTCAAGTAAATGACACTTCACAGGTTCCTGGCAGAATTAGCAGTAACGTATGTCACGTCCTGGTAGAGTGCCTGATGTGTGGTTGGAGCTCAATGAACACTGGCAAATATAATAACTGTGGGCCCTGCCCGGCTCCTTCCCACAAAATGCTTTTAATTAATTGAGTAAGAAAGAGGCAGAGGCCTGTGAGTGTCTAGGGGGTGGTGAGACCTTTAGAAGAGAGAGCTCAGGATGCGGGTGGCTCAGCCAGGGCTGCAGGAGACCAGTTTCTCAACCTGCATATGCACAGGAACCAGCGGCAATCTGGTGAAAAATGCAGCTGCTGGACAACCTCCCACAGAGATCCCAGCTCAGTCAGAAGAGGTGGCCCCAAAGCTGTATTTTGAAAAGTTGCCCAAGTGGTTCCTGATTAGCCAGGAGGGCCCCAGTCTGTATATTAATATTTGGGAGTCAATGAATTAGGTGATGCTGAGCTACTGAATGGATCTGTACTAAAGCAAGCATAATTAAATTAATTTTTTAGAAAGTGAAATCTGATAATCCTATAGAGCTGTGCTTCTCAAACTGGACCGAGCCTAGGAATCCCCTGGGGATCTGGTGAAAATGTAGCTGCTGAGCCAGCAGGTCTGGGGTGGGGCCTGAGATGCAGCGTTTCTAAACAGCTCCCAGGTGAGACCGGTGCTGCTGGTCCAAGGACCACACTCTGAGGACAAGGGTGCAGAAAAACTTGTGTCCTACATTCCGCTTGTTAGCAGTTCTTTCTTTTTTTCACAGTGTGATTTTGGAGCTTTTCCACCCTGCTTTTTTCTCTTGGCACTAAATAATGGAATCCCTGTGCTTTCCCTTGAGAATGTGGCTAGTGAAAAGGAATCCCAGAAAGGTAAGAACAAGGTGATGCCCTCTTTTTCGCATGCAGCTGCACGTTGTGGCGTAAAAACCTGTTCAAAGAATCTGATTTGATGAGGTGTTAAAATGTGAACATTCCCAAGACTCTGAAATTTGTTCTCCAACCCAGTCTGGAAATGTGTGTGAAAATTTCTAACCGTACCGTCACATTCTGTGTTTAGTTATAAAATTGTCCTTTGAAGCATTAACTTGTTCAGAGGAGTCAGTCAAGGCACCTAAACTCTAGAGCTCACGGCTTTGTCCTGTGGAAGTAAACTTAACCTCTTTTTAGAAATCTGTAATTGTACTTGACAATTTATTATCCTGGTAGCAATAATATTTAAATGGATGGTTCTATACTCCTAAGAGTTATAAATGTTTGTATGGCTTCTTGGCAAGCCTGACAAGGATGGGAGCATATACCCTTGGTGCCCTGGCCCACCTGTGTCCCTAAAGGCTGCAGAATCATTTTCCAGCCCAGGACAGCCTTCCATTTTCTGCCTGCTTCTCTTCTCTTCTCTGCCCCAGGGCTTTCTCTAGCACCAAAACTGCTTGCTCCACAACCAGATGGCAAAACCAGGAAGTGCAGGGGAGTTAATGCCCCCAAGGTTACTGCGGAGCCTTGGGGATGGGAGCTAATGGGCAAATACCCTCCTCCCTCCTGGGGGATGATTCTGAGGCTTGCTTCCATGCTTCCGGCTTCTGCAGAGGCTCTCTAACTGGACGAGCCCCCAGAGCCCGTGGCAGTCTCCTGCTCACTGATACCGACATTGCCTTTCGGCCTTTCCCTGTCTCACTTTCTCCACTTCCTCACTGTGCTTCCTGGGATCACTTCTCAAAAAACTCCCTCTGCCCAGGTGCTCATATCAGGCTCTGCTTTTGGGGAACCCACAACAAACCAAAAAGGATCACTTGTACTTCCTTCCTATCCCTCGATGCACGAAACTAGAATAAAACTCATTTCAGTCTTGGATTCCTTATTCAAACAAAGAGTTTGAGAACCCTTGTCTCATGAATTAACTTCCGGAAATGGGAAACTGACTATATTATCTCAGCCTCTTCCACTGGGCAGGTGTTGGGGGCTGGGCTAGCAACTTACACTCTGGTCCTGATCGTCACTCTTCATGTGCTGGGCAATGAAGCTGATACCCTCTAAAGCCTCCTGCACATCCTGCTTGAACCTCCCAGAAGACCTCAGCCGGAAATCCCTGGGGATACCCGCTGAGTCAGAGCCGGCTGGAGACTTGGGAGCTGCAGAGGCAGGGTTCACAAAGTACATGGAGTTCCCACAGAGGTTGGAGGAGCTGGTGGGGCCCATGGCCGAGGCGGTGGTGGCAGCCTTGGACTTGGTCAGGTGAGCCTGGCTGGGCTGGGGGGCCCTGGAGGGGCTGCTGTCAGGGCGCTTCATGAAAAGGAAAGTGGGCAGCTTGTGTAGGAAGCAGCGCTTGACCCAGGGCGCCATGGTGTGTGTGCTGGGTGAGCGGTGGTGCACATTGAGCACACAGACGCTGGTGACGATGGAGAAGGTAACCAGCACCATGGTGAACATGAGGTATTTGCCGATGAGCGGCACGTCGAGGGAGGTGGGCGGCACGATCTTGGAGATGAGCAGCAGGAAGACGGTGAGCGCCAGCAGCACGGAGATGCACAGCGTCATCTTCTCACCGCAGTCGGAGGGCAGGTAGAAGACGAGGATGGCCAGGGAGGTGATGAGCACGCAGGGGATGATGAGGTTGATGGTGTAGAAGAGTGGCTTGCGCTTGATGATGACGTCGTAAGTCACGTCTACGTAGCTGGGGTCCTGAGGGTTCACCGTCCTTCGCCCAGGGAGGGCGACTATGTCCCATTCACCACTGGGGGTGAAGTCATCCATGCTGGCCGTGGGTGACTTGAGGACCATGTCGATCTCTGTGTGGTCGTAGGTCCAAGAGCGGAACTTGAGGGTGCAGTTCTGCTGGTCAAAGGGGAAGTGCTTCACCTCGATCTTGCAGGCACTCTTGTAGATGGCAGGGGGCAGCCACATGATGCTGCCATTGGAGTGGACCACCACATTGGTATAGAGAGACACTTCGTAGGTACCGTCGGCACTGGGGGTGGGGACAGGGCATGGATGAGAATATCATGAAATCCATAGATGATGCCTGGCTGTTCTTAGAACTCGCCAAAGAGCCCTGCAGGATTATTTCTCACTAATCACTCTTCCAAACCCCCATGCCCTCACTGGAAAGGCCTGCTTTACTTGGCAACTGCCTGGTGGCGAGAGCCCTGACATGAAACAGCATGAAGGCTTTACATAGATTTGCTCATTTAAGACTCACAGCAGTCCAGTGAAGTAGATATTATTATCATCCCCATTTTACAGATGGGAAAAACAAGGCTCAGAGAAGTTAGTTGTCCTCTTCAAGGTCAGAAAACTAGTAAGCAGTACAGCTAAGATTTGAAGTCAGGTCTTTCTGTCCTTAGACCACCTACTCCTAATCATTTCTCGCTTCTGCTGGTACAACTACGACCTGGGAAGTCTCTTTATCCCCCTCCACCTACCTGAGATATTTATGCATATCAAGTCCATGCTACCAACACCTAACACTGATAAAGCAACCGAAGGTCAGAAAGGACAGTATGGGTCTTCCCTGGTGGCTCAGTGGTTGAGAATCTGCCTGCCAATGCAGGGGACACGGGTTCGAGCCCTGGTCTGGGAAGATCCCACGTGCCGCGGAGCAACTAGGCCCGTGAACCACAACTACCGAGCCTGCGCGCCTGGAGCCTATGCTCCGCAACAAGAGAGGCCGCAATAGTGAGAGGCCCAAGCTCCACAATGAAGAGTGGCCCCCGCTTGCCGCAACTAGAGAAAGCCCTCGCACAGAAACGAAGACGCAACACAGCCAAAAATAAATAAATAAATAAATAAATTAAAAAGCAAGTTTAAAAAGAAAGAGGACAGTATGGAGGACAGAAAGAACAATGCACTTGGGGTCAGGATGGTGGCCCTGGTCCCAGCTGTGCCTGAGTGAGTCGCAAGGCCCTCCCCATCTCTGGCCTCCAATTCCCCATCTGTAACTGAGGGTGCTGGCTCTGCTCATCTCTGATTCCTCTTGCAGCCTGACAGCTTGGAAGTCTGGGTGAAGCACAGGACTGGAGGCCTGGCCCTCACCACCTTGGCCAGCCCTGCCACTTAACTTGTTGTAAAGCACGATGTCAGGCAGCCAGACGCGCTTTGCGGGGATCCTCAGGATGTTCACACCCTCATAGCGGGAGCTGTTCCAGGCCAGGCGGTAGTCTGTCCATTCCTGAGCAGACAGGCAAGGCCCCGTCACTTGTAGGTCCCTCGCCGCCAAGGGGCAGCCCTGGAGAAAACTCCTCCTTGGGCTGGGGACCCTGCAGGGCACTTACCTGTTTCAGCCAGACATTGGTGGTCATGATCTGTTCTCGCTCATTCTGGGGAGGGAAATGAGGTTATCAGTTCACCTGTTAGGAGGTGATAGACCACACTTTATCAAGCAAAAGTCTCTGAGCTCCAGGGCCACGTGACCAACCACCAACTTAACATCCTCGGAGGGCTCAGACGTATTTCCCACCCAACATGCCTGAGACAAACCTCATGATCTTCACCCAGACGTGGGCCTCCACTGGCATTGCCATCTCAGTGAATGGCATCCCCCAGCCATAAATTCCACAAGCCAGAAACCTGGCAGTTGTCCCTGAGCCCTTGCTCTCTGATCCATCAGTAAGTCCTGTAGATTATACCTCCTACATGAGTCTCAAATTTGTCTGCTTCTCCCCATCTCCTCTGCCACCATCATCTGTTACCTGGACTATTGCAGTAGCCTCCCAACTGGCCTTCCTGCTCTGCCTTGGCCTGCCTTTAGTCTATTCTCTATAGAGCAACGTGGGTAATCCTTTTAAAATCTCAGCTCCTCAGACTACATCTCTCTGCTGAAACCCTCCACTCCCCTCCCATCTCATCTAAAGTGAAAGCCAAACTTCTGACCAGGGCTTACAAGGACATCCATGATCTGCCCCCCTCCCCCACCTCCATCCCTATTAGCTCTAGTACCTCTTACCTCAACACTTTCCTGTTCGCTCATCCCACTTCAGCTATACGTGTCTCTTTGCTTCTGCCTTTGCCCATGTTATTCCCTCTTCCTGGAAATCCACACAGCTGACTTCCTCACTTTCTTCAGGTCTTCCCTGACCTTTCTACATAAAATAGCACCCCGTTCCCCTCTCTCCCTGCTTCATTTTTCTTCTTCTTTTTTTTTAAATTAATTAATTAATTAATTAAATTTTTGGCTGCGTTGGGTCTTCGTTGCTGTGCACAGGCTTTCTCTAGTTGTGGCAAGCGGGGGCTACTCTTTGTTGCAGTGTGCGGGCTTCTCATTGCGGTGGCTTCTCTTTGTTGCAGAGCACAGGCTCTAGGCATGCGGGCTGCGGTAGTTGTGGCTCTCGGGCTCTAGAGCGCAGGCTCAGTAGTTGTGGCACACGGGCTTAGTCGCTCCGCGGCATGTGGGATCTTCCCGGACCAGGGCTCAAACCCATGTCCTCTGCATTGGCAGGTGGATTCTTAACCACTGCGTCACCCCTGCTTCATTTTTCTTTATAGCTCTTATCACCACTGGCCACCTCTATTTGTGTATTATATGCCACCTCCTACTAGCATCTAAGTTCCTTGAGGGCAGACAGCACCTAGAAGGGTATCTGGGATGTATCAGATGTGAAATAAATATTTTCTGAAGAATATAAGGATCCTCACAATAATCCAGGCCACCATAATCCATCTCTCACCTGAACCACTGCAAGACCCTCCCAACTGGTCTATGACCACTCTGCACACATAGCCCATACAGACACACATCTATTCTTCCTCTGCAGCCAGAAGAAACTTCCAAAGTTCCTGCCATTTCCCCCTTAATCCTATTTTTACTTAGGTCACTTCTGTGGCTTCCTTCACATATAAAATAAAAATCCAACTCCTTCACAGGGTCTGCAAGGTCTTGCCAACTTTCCCGGCTTCATTTCACCTTTATTCTATGCCCTTCCCCTGACATCCGCCCCGACCCTGGCCTTCTTTAGTTCTCCAAATGTGTCTTGTGCTCTCAGTCTGTACCAATTTCCCTGCCTCCTCTTCACCAAGATAACTTCCAGCATCTTGATAACAGCTTGGGAATCACTTCCTTTAGGAAACTTTCCTGAATCCTCAACTAGGTAAGCATATCAGTAGAAAAAGGTTCAGTTGCCAGTCACAGAGAGCCAGAGTAACACTGCCTTAAATAAGTTTATTTCTCTCTTGTAACAGTTTGGACATACAGGCATACCTCGTTTTATTGTGCTTCACAGACACTGCATTTTTTCCAAATCAAAGTTTTGTGGCAACTCTGTGTGGAGCATCTATTGGCACCATTTTTCCAAACAGCACTTGCTTACTTTGTGTCTCTGTGTCACATTTTGGTAATTTTTGCAATATTTTAAACTTTTTCATTATTACTGTATTTGTTACAGTGATCTGTGATCAGTATCTCTGATGTTACTACTGCAAAATATTACAACTCACTGAAGGCTCAGATGATGGTTAGCATTTTTTAGCAATAAAGTATTTTAAAATTAAGTTATGTACATTGTTTTTTAGACATAATGCTATTGCACACTTAATAGACTACAGCATAGTGTAAACATAAGTTTTATATGCACTGGGAAACCAAAAAAAGTCGTGTGACTTGGTTTATGGTGATATTCACTGTGTTGCGGTGGTCTGAAACCAAACCTGCAGTATCTCTGAGGTATACCTGTAATACGGTGGCTTTGCTCTACAAAGTCCTTAGGGACCCAGGTTCCTTCCAGATTTCTTCTCTACCACACCTAGAGTGTGGCCCTCATCTGCATGGTCCACAATGACTGCTGCAGCTCCAGTCATTACACCCACATTCCAGACTGTTGAGGGGTAGATGGGAAGAGGAGAGAGAGGATGCATGCCAATTGTCTTCCCCAAACCCCAAATGTCTTGTTTTAATTAGAGTATTTAGGCCATTTACATTCAGTGTAGTTACTGATAAATTTGGGTTTAAACCTACCATCTATTTGTTTTCTGTTTATTCCCTTTCTCTCTTTTCTTGCCTTATTTTAGATTAACGATTTTATTACCCATTTCTCCCGATATTAATGTGACTCTTCTTTAGGTAGTTACTCTGGAGTCTGCAATATGCATATACTTGACTTTTTAGCATCTAATATAAATTAGTTCTTTCATCACTTCCAGAACAAGGCAAGAACTTTTCAATTTCATCTACCCCCTCCTTACTTTTGGGTTATTGTCATGTATCTAATTCTACATACAGTTAAAACCTTGCAAGATATTTCTTTCTGTTTTCTTACACTGTCAATATCAATTCAAATTCACCCATATATTTACCCTTTCTGTTGTGCTTCATTCTTTCCTACATTTCTGTATTTCCATCTGGGATCATTTTCCGTATTGGGTCTTCTTGTATTAAATTCTTTCTCTCTCTCTCCTGAAAACATCTTTATTTCACCTTCCTTTTTTTTTTTTTAAATAAATTTATTTATTTATGGCTGTGTTGGGTCTCCGTTGCTGTGCACAGGCTTTCTCTAGTTGCAGTGAGTGGGGTCTACTCTTCGTTGTGGTGTGAGGGCTTCTCCTTGTTGTGGCTTCTCTTGTTGTAGAGCACAGGCTCTAGGCACACAGGCTTCAGTAGTTGTGGCACGTGGGCTCAGTAGTTGTGGCTTGCGGGCTCTAGTGCTCAGGCTCAGTAGTTGTGGCCCACAGGCTTAGCTGCTCCGTGGCATGTGGGATCTTCCCAGACCAGAGCTTGAACCCATGTCCCTTGCATTGGTAGGCAGATTCTTAACCACTGTGCCACCAGGGAAGCCCTCACCTTCATTTTAAATTATATTTTTACTGGTGGTATATTTCTAGGTTTGCAGTTTTTCCTTGCAGCACTTAAAAAATGTCATTCAATTTTCTGGCTTCCATTTTCAGCTGTTAGTTTTATTGTTGCTTCTGACTTTTGTTTCCCCCAACTGCTTTTAAGATTTTCTTTGTCTTTGGTTGTTAGGAGTTTGAGTATGATGTACCTGGGTATGATTTTCTTTGTATTTACCCCTCATAGGGTTCACAGAGCCTCTTGCATGTGTAGCTTAATGTCTTTAGTCAGTTTTGGAAAAATCTCAGTCAGTATCACTTCAACCTCTGTTTCTTATTTTTATTCCCATTCTTTCTGGAACTCCAAATACACGTTAGACCTGACATTTTTATCCTGTAGCATATTATCTTCTTTTCTGTATTTTCCTTTCTTTTTTCTATAATTTGTCTAGATATTTTCGATTGACCTCTCTTCCTGTTCATTAACTTTCTCTTCTGCTATGACCAATCTGCTATTAAACCCATCTAATAAATTTTAAATTCTCCATCATTATAAGTTTCTTGAACATATTAATGCATCACATTTTCTTTTCAAGAATGCTTATTTATTTTGTTTATTTTTAATAGTGGTAAAATACACATAAGTTTTACCATCTTAACGGCAGTTATTTAAAAGTCTATGTCTGATGACGCCAATATTTGAATCATCTGTGTGTCTGTTTCTCTTCTTTTCTCTCTTCGTTTTTTCTTATGTAGTCTTGTCTTATTGCCTGCCTAGTAAGGTTTTATCTGACTTTATCTGCCGCCAGGGACGACTGACTTTGGCTTTATGGAAGGCAGTTAGAAGAGGGACAGATCACCTTCATCTAGTCTGTGACTGAGCTGGTTCAAAGCAGGTTTTAGTTTTTGTGAGGGCTGGTCTGTTCTTGATTCATTTTGACTCTTAGCAATGCTCCTTGCAAGGTCCTCACCAAGGCCCCATCTCCTTAGTGGGGCTCCAATTCCAATTTGTGTCATCCTAGCCCTGTAAGAGTGCCAAGCATTCAGCTAGGCTTCCCAGCCTCTTAGCCACCACTCTGTACTCAGCTCCCTAGCCCCTTGGCTCTATACTGTTTACCAATCATCAAACGACAGGAAAAGCACCAGAAGCTATCAGGGTCACCTCCTGGATCCTGGTCCTTCAAGTCCTGGCTAAGCTCTCTAAGACCTTCAAACAGATTTGGGGGAGGACAGGCATTTTTGTCCCCCTTTTCTAATTGTTCTTGTGGAAAAGTTAATCTGCAACAAGATACTCTGTCATTACAGAAAGTTGAAAACCTTCATCTGTCTTAAAAAATATTTTTTTTTAAGTTGAGGTACAATTCACATACAGTGAAATGCATAGATCTTAAGGGTACAGTTTGATCAGTTTTAACAATGCATTATTCAGGTAACCCACCTCCTTTCAAGGTATAAAACATTTCTGCCACCCAGAAAGTTCTCTCCTTCTTTAGCCCGGTGCCTTAGTCCCCTTTACTCCCCCACAGCTGCCTTCCCAAAGGCAGTCCTGGCCTTCCCAAAGAGCTGCTTCTGAAGGCTTGCTGGCCTTACACAGCACAAATGCCCTGCCTGCTCCCTAGAAACTTCCATCTTTAAACTGGTCATGCCCATAACCCTCCCTCCTTGAAAACCAAGCCCTGAAATACAAAAGGAAAACTAAGCCCCCAAACCTCATATTGGTTCTGTACACAGCTTTCAGGATTATGACAGCTCACAGTGCTACACTCATAGGCATGGGGCTGGAGGCTGTGTGCCCTCCTCCTTCTGGTAACTTCTGTTATCCCACAGGGACCACAGAGCAGATCTGGCAGGGGCAGCCTTAGCCTGGAAGTGTGGCTAGAGCTGCCTTCCTGTTCCCCCTCACCAGGGCAGCAGCTGCAAGGCGGCAGCTGCAAGGCGGCAGCTGGGCTCACTCCATTAAGCAAAAAGCCTTTGGCTGGACAGTAACACTCAGACACCAGCCTGGGGGCGGCCTGGCTGGAAGCACTTATTCCTTCCAGTTGGCCTTTGGAGGGAAGAGGGACAGAGAGCACAGACTTTTCACCCCTCCCCCATTCTTGGGCTGTGCTTCCTCCCAGGGGAGGAAGCCAGCCATTAGTCTGGCCAAAGCCTTCGTGAGGGCTGTAGGTTGGAGGGGCCGGGTTTGTGAGGGCTGAGTGTGCTAGAGAGAGAGGGTGGCAGTAAGAAGGCAGCCACCAGACCAGAGGAGGCTCAGCCGCATAGGTTGGCTTCCCAAGGCTCAGGAGGAGAGGCACGGTGGATTTCCAGTGCACTGGCAAGGTCTTGGGAAAAGGAGTGGCCAGTCAGTGTGCAGGGCTGGGAGTCAGGCAATTTGGGATCTACTTCTGGCATCGCCAGAACTCCTGGACAAGGTCCTAGGTTGTTCATCTGATCTTTTTCCATATGCATAAATTAAGGAATTTGCCTGAACTTTGAGACCCCTGACTTGGCCTCTAAGTCATGATTCTTTCATTCCAAAAATGCTGTCTGTGCCTTTGCACGTGCTTTCCTCTTTGCTAGGGATATCCTGCCCACTTTGTGCACTCTAGTTTCCCAGTTTGGAGTCACCTGCCAATCCATATCCCAGAACCAGTTAAAATGCTTTGGCTTCAAGCATAGCTGGATGTTCAACAAAACATCCAACTACGAGTGACTAAAACAATAAGGACATCTGTTATATCACATAAGAGAGCAGGCCAATCATTTCAGCGTTGGTTAATGCAGTAATTCAGTGATGTCAGGATTCTAGTTGTTGACAGTGATGTTAGGACTCTGTGATTCTCTTGTTTTTCCCCCACAATCATAAGATGGAGGCCATAGTTCCAAATATAAAACCTTCACATGACAATGTCTATGGCAGGAAATGGCAAATCTCTTCTTGGGTCCCTTTCTGAGTATGAGGAAAACTTTCCCAGAGACCCCCGCCCTTTTAGGCAGCCCCTACATCCCAATGCCAGGGCTATAGCTCTTGCCTAAGCCTTAATTGATTATTGGCTGGAGGAATAGAATTACCATGGTTAGCTACGACTTAACAGTACATGGCAAGGAGGCCGGAGAAGGGCCCATGAAGTTAGTGAGTATCCAATATCAAGTCATACTTTTATTAACAAAGAAGTTGTGAGGCAGGAACGTCCACTGGGTAGCCGGCCAGTGGGCCTGCCATAGACAAGGTGGGCCTGCAACGTGGCCATAAGCTTCTCCTTCTACCCTATCATCTCCCCCAGTCTGCTCAACAGATGACCTCACATACCCCCTACCTACTGGGGGGAGATAGGAACTAGGTACAGAAACCGATGGGTACAGAGGCCCAGGTGTAGGGACAGGACCAGAGGCAGTTGCCAACTGAGGGTCTGGGTAAATGAGGGTGGTCACTGCAGGTGTGGAAATGAAGAATGGATTACAGAGTGCAAAAGTACGGCTGTCAGGTCTTGATGTGTGGATGTGGGGCCTCGCAGGGAGTGCTGAGGGAGGTGCCTGAGGGAACCATGGCTCACCGTTAATCTTCCCTGTGGCCCTTTCCACATCCCCACGCGCAGGTTTGGAGCCCCGCCCCTGGAAGCAGCTCTGAGGGGAGCATGCATAGGAGGAGCACGTAGCGTACTGTGTCCAGCCGTGGGGAAGGCACAGCTGTCCCCTGTACCTACCACACTGATGAGCTGTGCCAGGGAGAGCTGCAGCTGGATGGAGATGAGCTCTGAGGAGCTGGTGGCTGGGCGGATCAGGTCATTGTAGCGGGTTTTGTTCAGGAGGTCATCCATGAGCTTTTCCTCCGCGTTGGCCACGCGGCAGCCCCCTGGGAAAACACATAGTCAGATCTGCTGGGTCCTCATCCAGCTGATGGCAGTGAAAGGGAGAGCTGCGAGGGCCAGAGAGCACAGGTGCCCTCGGGGCCAGCTGGAGCAGCTAAGGGGCTGGCAGGCCTGGCTCTCCTTGGAGACTTCAAATTAAATCTACCCAAGACAGAGCTCAGCTCTCTCCTCCCACGCCCTACATCTTCCTCCTCCTGTTCCGTCTGGCAATGAATGGCACCCCACGCTCTAGACATCTAGTCCAAAACCTGGGCATCTGTTTTGACCCCTTCCTTGGTTCATCCAAGGGGCCACGCAGTTCTGTCTACTCTACTTTCCAGATCTCTCAGTCTGTCCTCCCCTCTCCATCTCTCCTGGTCCTGGCCTACCACCCTGCCCCAGGCTCTTCCAGTAGCCTCCTTGCTGGTCTCCCCACCCCCACTCTGCCCCTGCCGTCATGTCCCATTCAGTGCCAGAGTGGTCTTCCTACAGCTACTGAACCAGAGCCCATCCCTGCCCGTAACCTCTCAGAGCTGTAGGCAGAATTCAAATCCAAATATTTCGGCTTGGCATCCAAAGCCCCTTGGCACCAGCATTTCTTCCTCAACCTGATCTCTTCTTACCTCTCCACCTCTACGCCCAGGTACTCTATATTTTGGCCATATATACTGCTTTCCCTTCCCCATGTGGCCTTCATTGTCTCACTTCTAAATCTTCAAGCACACTTTTTCTTCTGCCAGGGCAGCCCCCAGGCGACCAGCCTTCAAATATCTGAGAGTCTTTCTTGTGCCAGGCACTGTGTTATGCGCTGGGGGTAACAGCCAGCAAAAACCCTGGCTCCTGCCCTCAGGGAGCCTCCTGTGTAGTGGAGGAGAGGTATTATTCACACGTGGGTTTGTGTGCAGAGCTGGGAGATGGTGGTGCTTTCACTAAAAGAGCAAAGGCCTGGGCTAGGGGGAGTTTCCTGGGATCAGACTTGGCCCTACAGGGTTCAGGGTGCACCTTGAGACACCAAATGGAGGGGTCCAGCTGGCAGTTGGCTCCTGGTCTGGAGCTTAAAGGAGAGGTCTGGGCTCAGAACCATACCTGCGAGCCAGCAAACGCAGCCTCCTGCAAGGAGCCTGACCTGGCCGGGAGCCCCACTGAGCTCCCACAGCCCCAGATCTGCCCCTTTTCACAGCCCAGATCTCTTGCCATGTGGCGTTTGGGTCTTTGTCCCATCTCCCTCACACGTCTGGGAGTGAAGGGGAGGTTCAGGAACTCGATCATTCACTCTGGTGACGTCAGGCAAGGGCAGTTTGGGGAGGAGCCTGGGAAAGAGGGAGCCTCAGAGGAAGGTCAAGGACACCTGAGCAAGAGACCCCAGGAACAGGGGAAGAGATGCGGGTGTGCAGAGGAAACAGTGTCGGGGCCAGCAAGAAAGTGGGAAAAGGATAAGGGAATAAGGGAGGCTGAGGAGGTGGGGTTGGGTCTGCCGGCTCACCAGGCCCAGGACTGGGATTACATCCTCCGCTGAGGGGCCAGTTCACTCTGTTTTACCAAATCCCACCCTCTGGATGCGGCCAGAGGGCCCAGAGTGTAAACTGCCTGACAGAGCAAGTCTGAGGTGGACTCCTGGGTGGGTGCTGGGCTGGACACGAGGCCACGGGAAGCAGCCACCACCCTGCCTGCTCCATGCACTTTCCAACTCATTGCCTATCTGGAGCAAATGCAGCGTTTAGTGCCTGTGAAAGATGCTCCCAGGGCACCTGCTACCCACTGTCCCTCCCCCAACCTGCCCCAGGCTGTCCAGAGGGGGTCCTGTGGATGCTTGGCCTACATTCTGAGCCCCGCCTCTCATACCCTGGACCCCCTCCCAGAGGCCAGCTGCTTGAATACCCTGGAAGCCAGTCTGTAGCCCCAGGTTATAGCTGGGTCTCTCCCATAGCCCCTCTTTATTATACATATTTGAGTTGACCCATCATTTCAGCAGGGTATGACTTGCCCAAGTCCATCAAGCATGTCTGGGACAGCTCGGGTCAGAATCTGAGGCTCCTGGCCCCCAGCCCTGCAGTGCTGGGGGAGGCTGGATCCCACATCTCTGCAGCCCCAGGAGGCTGGTGTACCTAGGTACCTGAGAGGCATGGGCTGCTCTGCAGGCTGCGGGGGCTTGTGTTCCTGCTCCAAGCCCACCTGGGATGCTCAGGTTGCTCACCTTTGGGCCTGTCCTGCCTCTCAGTCGTTCAGCTGGCCCCCAGGGACCCTCACCCATCTTGAGGACCAGTTGTGGGATCCAGAGAAAGAGGTTCCGAAAACCTTAGACCATTTAGCTCACTCTCTATTTCTTATCTGGGGAAACTGAGACCAAAGAGGGCGAGGAGCTTACTTAAGGAGTCCCAGCAAGTCAGAGGCAGAGCTAGTTAGAGGCCCTCCCCTAACCCCTGTGCCTTCTTTCGCGCCCTTGCTAACTTCCCCGTAAGGAGCCTGTCCCCGCAGAAGCCATGTTGGTGTCCACAGCCAAGTGTGTACTCATGCCTGTGCCTGTGTTTGTACTTGTATACATGCATGGGGGGGCAGAGGGGTTTCCAAACTATATTTGTTTAGGCTTTTCAGTCTACTGCTTTATGCCTGTGAGGCCTACTGGGTTCAAAAGACAAGGAACAGGCCCTCTCACCCCCAGATGACAGGGGTGGCCCAGAAGAGGTGGAAGCTTCTGGGGCACAGTTGGGGGTCACCTCCCAGCCCTGGGGCCGGCACAGTTACACAAAGCGGCCACCACTAGGGGTCAGTCATGACCCAGTGATTCTGAGAAGGAGTGGGCCCACCCTGCCTCTGTCCAGGGCCTTGCCTTCCTTGGCCTTCTCTGGAAAAACTGCTCCCCACCAGTAAGGGGTTAACAGTCTGAGAGGAAGCCATGGCTGGAATTCTAAAACGTGTGAGTGTGTGTACAGTCTGAAAAAGCAGAGCTAATGGTAAAAATCTATACTGGTAAAATGGAAAGGCAATACCTATTTGTTTGGAATACAAACCACAGAAAGTAAAGGGTCAGTGGAATCTTGGCAAGTGGGCATCTAAAAGGCAGAGTGATTTTCAGTTGCGGATGTTTGTCCTTAACTGAGGAAGGGAACAAGAGATTTGTATTTATTAAAAGGCAGCTATGGATTCTTTTCAAAAAGTTGAGGTTTGGGCTTCCCTGGTGGCACAAGTGGTTGGGAGTCCGCCTGCCAATGCAGGGGACGTGGGTTCGTGCCCCGGTCCGGGAAGATCCCACATGCCACGGAGCGGCTGGGCCCGTGAGCCATGGCGGCTGAGCCTGCACATCCGGAGCCTGTGCTCCACAACGGGAGAGGCCACAACAGTGAGAGGCCCGCATACCAAAAAAAAAAAAAAAAAAGTTGAGGTTTTTACGTTTTACAAAAAGCTCACAATATATTATCAGTAGCTTCTCCAATCATGTGCAAGAATCACCTGGATACTTGTATAAATTCAGATTCCCAGGCTCCATTTCCGGAGATTCTGATCCTGTGAGCCTAGGATGGGGCCCCGGGGATGTGTAGTGGGTGTTTCTGATGCAGGTGGCCCCAGGACCATACTTAAGAAACACTGCAACTGACTCACATCTGAGTCCCTAAGTATGTAGTCAAGGCATGTCATCCCCATAGAACTGATAGGGAAACTGAGGCCCAGAGAGGGTCACTGAGCAAGTGGTGACAGATCCAGGATGCACACATGGAGTGCAGACACCATCTTTGGTGAGATCTCCGCTTCCCTATAGGAACTTCATATGTCCCCCTACCCCTTACCTCCAACACCCCTGGTGGTGTGCCTCTGTCCAAGGCAGATATAGCCCTGGTCCTCTAGGCTGACTGGGGCTTGGAGGACAAGCTTTGGCTGGAGGGTAGGAGCTGAAAGAGTCCTTGATACTCAGGTGGGGATACTGAGGCTGGGAGCAGACAATCCTCACCATATCTGGACTCTGCCTGGGAAGGGCTGACTGGATTTCCCTTCCGGGTGTCTGCAGGGTCCTGAGGGGCAGGCTCCACTTCACCAGCCCCGCACTCAGCCAAGCTGGCTGTCCCGGCCGGCCAACCCCTAGGAGTGGGTGACCAGAGGCAGAGGTGCCATAAAAGTGTGTTTTCTAGGAGATCCACCCGCAAACACACTTGGGTAGCCCCACCCCCCACCCTCAGGCTAAGTTTCCCTATCTACAGTAGCGCTGGGATTAAGCAGAGCTGCCTGTCAAGCGGGTACCACTCAGCCCCGCTGCCCAGCCCAAAGGCGCTCCATATGGAGGGTGGCCCTGGCGGCCGCGCAGAGGACAGCCGGTCTCCACCCCAAACGTCGCAGACCCACTCATCCTGACCCGCCCCTGCTGCCGCGAGTGGGCTTAGCCCCGCCCACGCCCCCATTCGTCCTGGACAATCTCGGGCCACTCCCCTGAGTGCCGGACACCCTCCCTTCCCTCCCACCTGTGGCCAGTCCAGCCGGGCTCTGGCCGACCCCGGCGTCCCTCCCTCCTTCCCCGAAGAGAACTCACCTCGCCCACAAAGGGCAACCAGGGAGAAAAGGAGCAAGGGGAGCGGGCTTCTCATGACGGGCGGGGGCTGGAGAGGCAGCCGAGGCGAGTTCAGCGGTCGGACCACCCGGGCACCGGCGGCCGCGGGCAGGCGAGTGACAGCCGGTGCCCACGGCCTCAGAGGTTTGAAGTCGTTTGACGGCGGGCACTAGGACCCCGGGGAGAGCCCAAACAAGCCCGCTGGGGGCAGCAGCTGTGAGCTACGCCCAGAAGGGGATGGGGCGGGGCAGAAGAGACCCCAGGGGCGGGGCCGGCACCCACCTGGCGGGACTGGGTCTCCCAGCGGTTGGCCTCTGCGCTTCCCGACCTACTCCGGCCTCCAACTTTCCTTGAAGGGAGGTCGGCGGGACCGTGCATGCACCCTTTGTACAGTTGGGGAGACTGAGGCAGACGCTGGCTCTGGATCCCTCTACTGTTGGGGAAAGTGGTTGTACTCCAGCCGGGAGGTCCCTGGGCTTTGTCTGCCATCAGGACTCAGGAGGTCTTTCAGAAAAAGATCTCAAGTCTATGCTCATGCGGTTTGCTGAAAAAAAGGAGCACTGCAGGGAGTGGGGAGTAAGCCAGCTGGAGTGGGGCGCAGCTATCTGCAGACATTGGGGAAAGGGCGCTTAGGAAAAGTGTGTGGAATTTGGGAGGGTTATATAGCTCAGGGTCCCATTACCTAGATTGGGTGACTGGGGAAGGGACAGGATGGAGCCAGAGTGGGCTGGCTGTGTCCTCCCCCTTGAGCCTTACAACCTGTGCTGACCCCAGGCAGCTCTGGTGACTCAAGGGAGCAAGCACCCCCTCCTCCAGCCAGGTGGTCCTGGGTAAGTGTCGGAATCAGTATCATTCCCTTGGGAGCTGGGGGACCTCACAGGATAGGCATCAGTGCCAGGGCAGCCCTACTTTTGGACCTGGCCAGAAGTGGTGCCTCAATCCAGGATCCAAAAGAGCCTTTGGCATATTCCTGTAGCCCATGGCACTCCTCGCTCGCACTCCAGCTCCCCACCCACCCTCTCCCCTGTCTGGGTCCCAACAGGCAAACCTAACAACTGGAACTTCCCTGGTGGTGCAGTGGTTAGGAATCCGCCTGCCAATGCAGGGGACGTGGGTTCAAGCCCTGGTCTGGAAAGATCCCACATGCTGCGGGGTAACAAACCCATGCGCCACAACTGCTGAGCCTGTGCTGTAGAGCCCATGAGCCACAATTACTGAAGCCTACATACCCTAGAGCCCACATGCTGCAACTACTGATGCCCGCGGGCCTAGAGCCCGTGCTCCGCAACAAGAGAAGCCACCACAATAAGAAGCTTGCGCACCGCAGCGAAGAGTAGCCCCTACTTGTGGCAACTAGAGAAAAGCCAGGCACAGCAATGAAGACCCAACACAGCCAAAACAAAAGAAAAACTAACAACTGGAGGGAGGGTGGGAAGGGCAGGGTCTGGGAGAGTGATCGCCTACAAACAGCAGCTTTGCCACCTTCTCTCCAGGACTCTCAGCCTTGCTATCATATTGCTTCCCCCAATGTCTTTTTTGCTATAATATGACATGTTGACATATTCTTTTAAAAGGAACACTGTTGAAATGGAGCTGACTTTCCCTTTAAGATGGCTTGGAGAATTAAGGTTTGAGTGCATCCTATCCTCTCCAAACTGTAGCAATAAATAGGTGAAATATATAAAGCAAACCAAAAAGACATAGCCAGGCTGAAAAAATAAGATCTCCATGAACTAAAATCAAAAAAGAAATGCAAAGTGATGGGGATGCTGAAGCCTGGAGCCTGCTGGACTCTAGAAGCCAAAGGCAGTGGCAGGTCCTTAGGGATAAAAAGGGACTAAAAGACTCCTGGCTAGAAGCTGGGGGCTTGGATGTACCCCAGTCCCTGAAAGGGTGCTAGGGTAGGGATGCTGCTGCTGATCTGTTATCTGAGGCCCTAACTTCATAGGATGTGTATTATCCCTCATGTACCACAGTATGGGAGCTTGAAAATGCCATAAAACTTGGAGGCATCTGCAAAACCTTATGTTAGGTAAGCAAAGGTGGGAGGGTAGGAAGGGAGAGAGAGAGGGAGAGGGTATGATGTCCATTCAAAACAGCCTAACTTGTGCTGGAACATAGGTGAAGTGCTCAGAGAATGATCCGGAAAGGATTCCACTGACCAGATCTGGGACAATTTTAGCATTAAAATAAATAATAATGATGATGAATACTCATTGAATAAAATTAGAAACTTTAAGACTATATTGAAGTAAATAAATCATGAAAGTTTGATGAGAAATGAGGAACTTACAAAATACTTATTAATTATAAGGGGGAAAAGACTTGACAGAGGAGAAACTTCGCAGATACCACCTGTGGTAGGCTGAATAATGATCCCCAAAGATGTTCACATCCTAATCTTGGAACCTGTGGATGTCACTTTATATGGTGAAAGGAACTTTGCAGATGAGATTAAATGGAAAGATCTTGGGATGGGGAGATTTTCCTGGTGGGACCGATGTAGTCACAGAGATCCTTATAAAGGGAGACAGGGGATCAGAGTGAGAGAACGTATGTGAAGATGGAAGCAGAGATTGGAGTGATGTATATATGAGCTAAGGAATGCCAAGGCAGCCTCCAGAACTGAAGAGGCAAGGAACAGATTCACCTTTGGAAACTTCAGAAGGAACCAGTCATGCCAGTACGTTGATTTTAGCCCTATAAGACTGATTTTGGACTTTTCACCTTCAGACCTGTAAGAGAAAAAAATTTATGTTTTTTCAAGCCACTACATTTGTGGTAATTTCTTACAGCATCATTAGGAAACCAATATACTACCTTAACCAAGTGATCAAAATTAGTATCATGAATAATGGGGCAAATCAAAATTGTACATTACCTGATAGGATGCAGTACACAGAATTCCTTCTGTGATATTCCTGCCAAAGATGTATGACTTGAATCTAATCATGAGGATACATCAGACAAACCCAGATTACGGGACATTCTATAAAATAACTCATCTGTTATCATCAAAAGTGTCAAGGTTGTGAAAGTCAAAGAGAGACTGAAGAACTGTTTCAGATAGAAGGAGACTCAAGTGACACCACAACTAAATACAACGCTTGATTCTGAAACAGATCCTTTTGCTATATAGGACCTTATGGGGACAACTGGCAAAATTTGAATGGGGTCTGGGGATCAGATGGTTGTACTATGTCAATGTTAACTTCGTGATATTGATGGCTACATTTTGGCTATATAGGAGATATCTTTGTAGATAATGCACATGAAAGTGTTCAGAAGCTTGTGTGGTAAATGTATTCAAAATGATGCAAGGGGGAAAAGTTCTGTGTATGGTACTTGCAACTTTTCTCTAAATTTGAGATTTTTTTAAAAAAGCAAAGTGAGGGGCTTCCCTGGTGGCGCAGTGGTTGGGAGTCCGCCTGCCGATGCAGGGGACACGGGTTCGTGCCCCGGCCCGGGAAGATCCCACATGCCGCAAAGCGGCTGGGCCTGTGAGCCATGGCCGCTGAGCCTGCGCGTCCGGAGCCTGTGCTCCACAATGGGAGAGGCCACGACAGTGAGAGGCCCGCGTACCGCAAAAAAAAATAAATAAATAAAAAGCAAAGTGAGCCTACAAACCAAGATTTGAAAACGTGAGCAATCAAAGGCTAAGAAAGGTAGCAAACGAAGTAAAGAAATCGGCAAACTCACTCCAGATGAAATACATTTTTATAGAAGTATGACAAATAATTTTTAGAAAGAAAAGAAAAAGAAGAAATGCTACCCAAACTTATTTGTTGAGGATAGTATAATTATGGTACTAAACCAGACAAGGACATACAAGAGAATTATAGACCAATATGATTTATGAGTATTTGTCACAGGGAGATGGCATGACTTAGTGGTTAGTACGTGGCCCCTGGAGCAAGGCAGTCTGGATTTGTATTCTGGTGTCACTGCTAATATTCTCTGTGACCTTGGGGAGGTGACTTGACTTCTCTGTGCCTCAGTTCTCTCATATTTCAGAGGAGGAAATAACCTTCAAAACAATAGACCTTCTAGGATGAAATGAAATAATTCATGGAAAGTGCCTTAATGGTGCCTGAAACATAGAAAGCACCTAATAAATGTTAGCTATTATTAGTTTTCATGAATGTAGATTCAAAAATTCTAAATAAAATAATACCAAAGTTGAAAACAGCTGTGTACACACAAAAATAATGCATCATGGCAAAGTAGGGTTTATTCCAAGAATACAAGAATGAGTCAACATTAGATAAATCACTAATGTACCTTAACAGATTACTCATGCAATGCAGACTGTTAGCAAACTAGCTTCCTTAACTTAATAAACATGTAGCAATGATCAGACTTAATGGTAAAATTTTAAAAGCAATTTCCATCAAAGTCAGGAATTAGACAAGGATGGCTTCTATCATGGTTTCTATTCAGCACTACACTGGACGTCCTAGGTCTTCATGTGCTAGCTTAAGTTATATGAAATTGCCATTTTTTTAGGTAGCAGGTTGCCCAACAGCAGCAATTTATATGATTCAACCCATAAAAGAAAGAAATGTAAGAATTGGAAAGGAAGACTACCTGTATGTGAAGACAATATGATTGTCTACGTAGAAAATCCAAGAGAATATACAGATAAATAAGACTAGTAAGAGAGTAGGTTGATGAATTCAAGATCAAGTTTTAAAAATTTATTAGTATTTTATACATGAGTAATACCAAATTATAACATGTAATAGAAAAAAGAGATTCTATTCACAACAGCAACAAAAATCTGAGAATGCATCAAGCAAAAGATACACAAGACCTTTCATGCAGAGTATTATAAAAATTACTTCAGGACTTAAAGGAAGAACTGACTAAATGGAAATATATAACGTATTTATGAATGTAAGGACTCAAATTATAAAATGGAAGTACTTATATTTATGAACAGGAGGACCTATATTGCAATTATATCACTGATTACCAAATTAATCTATAAATTTGATGTGATTCCCACACAAATCCCAATAGAATTTTTCATGGAAC